AGACGGTTCGGCTGTAGAGCTCGGTGTTCCTGAGCTCTCTCAAAGACTTCAGAAAAGGTCTCGCAGGTGCTTGGGAAATTCCCCCTCGAAGCGCCCAACAGCTGACTGGGTTTAACCCGCGCTCCGCGGCTTAGATGCTGGCGAACACGAGGGAAGCAACCCCTTGTAGGAGGAGGCAAGCTCCTGAAACAAATACTGATTTTAACAAAACCTTTAGTCCTAATGCACTTACTTATCTAGCAACTTCTTAACCTAAAACTAATGAAATTCCTAACCTAACTCTAAGAATCAAATCCAAGTTAACTGAAGAGCAATCAAAGTTGTGTCTTGCTGAGCCCAAGACTAAGACAAAACTGGGGAAGGAATGCCCAAGGGAGGCGTGGCAAAAATTTGATCTTAGTCTAAAGCTGAGCAGGAAGATTTGATTACCCAACTGGTGGATGCTACATCTATCATGCTGGAGAATATAGTAGTTGCTTCAAAACAGGAACTGGCAAAGCCCAGGAAAAGATAATTTGTTTTTGGATGAACTTCAATGTCTTAATAACAGAGAACAACTGTGACAAAAAGAAAACATCTTGGGCTACTTACAAAGAGAGAACTATAAACTTTAGAGAGAAAAAAATGACCTTTCTGGATTACAAATACTTATTCAGCTGTGACTTTAAAGCTGTCTGCAGAGAAAAAAAAAATCCTGATTTTTGGCTATCATGGAAAATGAAGAGATCTGCAGAAAGAATATACCAAGAAAAAACAAATACTTTCCAGGAGGAGATATATGCTACGTTGCAACTAATTCAAAAAACAATAATCTCAAATCATGAGGATATTAAAAATAACTTTGAATATATAAATGAATCTCTAATTTAACTTTACAGCAAAAAAAAAACCTCTCAGAAAATAAAAATAGAGAGTGAGTAGATAAAACAGACAACTGATGAACCAGAGAAGAGAGATTTAAAGATGGAACCTAACAACAGAAGGAAGTATGATTCAACCCAAGTGGAAAAAAACTTACAGGAAATAATGGACATGGAAAAAGCAACTTATACTTTAAGTTCATAAAATAAGTCTGAGGACAAGAAAAAAGATTTGACAAAATGGATTACAGAGCTACCAGGAGAACTACGAGAACTTAAAGAGACAAAAAATGATAAGAGAAATTAACAGAGAAGGAAAAGAAAAAAATTTCAATGAATATGAAGAGATGAAACCTTCATATAAAGTATCTCTCCTGATTTGTCTTTTGTACCTATAACAACATCCACAAGACTGTGGGAAGACTCTTTGACTTAGAGAAACATATTGTTCAGGAAAGATGTCTGGCAAAATAAAAAGGCTAAAGTGAGAATCAAGAAATTAGATGATGGGATCTATCAGAGGGAATATTTGAAAATTATACATCTGTTTGAATATGGTTAAAGAAATAGAAAGATTTTGGATATAAATGAATTTTAGTTTAAGAGGGATGAGCCCCGCAAGTAATATAGTATTTTTCTTTTTTCCTTTGTGTTTTGTTTTTTGACATGAGAAATATAAAAATGTTGGAGTGGTTTATATAAAAGAAATGTTTTAGATACTTAGGTGAAACTGATCTTGAGAAAACTTCAAATGGATTAAAATGCTTTGATTAGATCTAAAAGATTAGATAATTGGATTTATTTAAATAGAATTTAAAGATTAAGTGTTGAATATGGTTAAAAAGAAGAGAAAAATTCTGGATATAAATGTACATTAGTCTAAGAGGGATATGTATTTTAAGTAGTATACTATCTTTGTATTTCTTTTTCTTTTCTTTTTTTTCTTTTTTTCTTTTTTTAAGATATGAGAAATGTAAAAGTATGAGGAAAAAGACCTAAATACTTAAGTGTAATGAAAATCTTAACCATGTAAGAATATTTTGAATATTGTGGGGAAAACAAATTTAAATAAGAATTTTAAACAGGATCTATGATAAGGCAATCAAGATAATCAGTTAGAAAAGAAGTTTTATATCAATGTGGTTATTATTTGCACAAATATTAGAAAAATGTCTATATTTAATTGTTATTTATCCAAATAATGAGAATTGTATTAATTCAAGGATGGCAAAAGAGAACATTTTTGGAAGAAGAGAACATCAAGTAAAGCTATTATGCGGACTATGGAATTATAGAAACTAACTGTTATTGTTTTTTAAATATAAACCCAGACAACACGATGTTTACCAAATATTAAGGTGATTATGTAAAAAAAAGGTTTTTTTTAAAGAAGCTGTTATGGACTTTCTCTGTGTGAAATACAATAATAGATTGTTAACAAAGGACTTTGAAGTTTAGTTTTGTTGTTGGGTTTAACTATTAACTCTTTTTTTACAGTAGGTAGATAGATCAAAATTAGTTGGGCAAATGGATATTTATCAGCATTCAGCTTGCAGGGACAATTTATGTGTATGTTTTTAAGAACATTATTGTCTTTAGTTTTCCTTTGTTTTTGTTTCCCTTTTTTCTGTTGAAATTTGTATTTTAACTTTGGAAATAAAGTAAAAAAAATTAAAAAACAAGGCATAACAATTCAATAAATATAAAAGGTAAGAAAAATAAGATCCAAACAAAATATGTGGTACCAGGCCCCCAAAGTCTTCTGGAAAAGCTCTATTTTTAGCTTTTATAAGGCAGACAATGTTAGAGACAAGTGAATCTGCAATAGGAGGTGATTCCAGAGGATAGGGCACATCACTGAAAAACAGTACTTCCAGATTTTAGCTCCCTCCACCTCCTCAAAATGGTGGACAATAAGCCATTTCTGCTGGCATGAATGGAAGAGTCAGGCTGACCTTACTGTGCAACACAATCCTGCTAATAAACAGTTAAAAGAAATAAGCTGAGAAAGCTAATCTAAAATGTCTTGGAGAAAAATATTTTATGGTATTGCTGCTGTTGTGATAAAATAAGCAAGTAAGAATGGGTGTATGATCACATGCACTAGATGGCTTGTATTAAAACAATGGTTTCAACTTTAGAATATTTGGAAAGAATGTTCCCTACTAGCAATGAAAATTTATATGTATGATATGTGATACATTAATCACGTGTAATTTTTTGATATGACCACTGTTTAAACATTTGTTTATTTGCAGAAAGTCACTAAAATGTTTGTGAATTCAGAATGAATTAACTGGATACTACTCTTTTGCTCTAGATAAAATACTTTTCCTAAAACAAATTTATGATTATGATTATATTTGTAGACCTGTCAATCTCTTAATTATGGTTCTCTTCTTAATTTTGTATTTTACAAAGAAATGAAAACAACGTAAATACTATTGTGGCCTTCCTTCCTTCCTTCCTTCCTTCCTTCCTTCCTTCCTTCCTTCCTTCCTTCCTTCCTTCTTATAACCCTTCTTGGTTGTATTATATTTCTCATCAGGATATGAAATTTATGCTAAGAGTTTTAAAGGCCCACAGATTTGCAAGACAAATCAGCTTAATAAAAATGATAAGTGTTATTTGTCAAGACCCTTGTTCACTCTGACAGTTGTTTAGAAAAGACAAAAATAAAAATCCTTAATGAGTCAAACATAAGAAAGTATGAGTTTCCCCAGAACTCTTTCAATGCAGAATGGCTAATCCATTCCACGGGGTTGTTATTTGAAGGAGAATTAGGTAGGTTTGTAGACTAGAGTTATAAAAATAATAAAGGCGGGATTAAAAAAAAACATAAAGATAAGACTAAAAGAAAGGAGAAGACTAAGATAGTAATGCCTGATAGATCCTCAAAAAATTAGATGTGAGATATGTAAAGAATATATTAGGCAGTTTATGAACATAGTGGAAGCAAAAGATGTTTTGCGAAGAAAGAAAAGTATAGAGAAATATAATAAAAGGTATCACTATAAACTAAATTTGGTACATTTTTTTAAAAAAATAGTTTTTACTAAGAATTTTGATTACAACAGAAATACCAACTAAGAAAAGCAGAATAGAAAAAATAATAAAAAGTGCAGAAAAAGGAGGAAAAACAAAAAGAAAAAATATAATAAAGAAAAAGAAAAATATATAAAGAAGTTACAGTTTTCATCATAACAACTATAAACAAATTAAGCAGCTCTTCACTCTCTAAATGGTTACAGACCAATATTTATTCATCTCATAATCCATCCCTTATCTATTAAACATTAATTTTTCTGTTCTGGTGTCAGTATAAAGAGTTGACAGAACTATGTAAAAAAAGTTTTATTTTTGATCTTGGTCTTGATTTTAACATTAATCAAATAAACCAATTTTATATTCCTTCTTTTTACTTCTGTCTTACTCTTTAAGTCAATCAACTATTATTTGATTTCTCTTAAATTCTTCTCTATTCCACTGTAGATTTCAAGACTTTAACAAGCCTCTTTTGTAGATTAAATAAGCAAACATTTTCCAGTCATTCTCGTGGTTTGTTATTTGTATTTCCCCTTTAAGTTCTTTTGTATATCTAGTAAAGCATCCTTTTCTAATTTATTATTTTGGCCTGTAATTTGTAGTTCCGTTTTCCATATTTTCTCTGTCTTGTCAAAGTAAAATTGTTCTTCATCTGCCATTCTTTTGTTACATCTTTTAGACATAGTCTATCCATAGAAGATTGTCATCTATCATCGAGAGTATTGATGTTGTAGTAAATCCTAATATTAATCATCATCTTTCCCTTTTGCTTGAAATTTTAGTCCCCTAAATCTCCAGCATTCAGTCATCACAAAATAACTTATCTTTCTTAAAACTTACATAGTCAAAGTAAGTCTGTTTCCAACGATAAACTATTTTTATAGTTAATTCCAAAATCGTATAGCAAATCAATATTCTAAATTTATCTGGGCTTTTATTCCAGGTAAAACTTTGTTGATCAATTCTCATTTAATTTTCTGCTATTTATTTCAAATCCTGAAGATCTTAATTAATTTTTCTTTTGATAAGAATTGAAGATAAACTCACCTGAAGACTTTTCAAATTTGTTATTCTAAATGTTTTTAATAGCTTTACCTCTCAAGATGTAATTCTGGTAGTTCTGGTCTGCCTCAGCTCCCACTTTTATTAAACAAGCCAGGCCTTCTGCTACAACAAATTCATGAACCAAATCCTTGTCATCCTATGAAGGAGAGGACAGGGGAAAAAAGACAAATGATACATTATTTAACATACTGAAAATAAAATGGCAGTGGTTTTAAGTTGTGTCTGACTCTTGGTGACTTTATAGGCAAGTACTTTTCACACTACCCTGTCAAGCACAGCTTTTTCAGTTGTTTATATCAGCTTTGATAGTATCAAGCCAGCATGTTCTTTGCTTGTTCCTTTTTCTTGTTTCACTAAGCACATACAAGCAGCCCCCTTTAGCAACTGTTTGTGGCTATGGCAGTGATGAAAAAGCAATTTTACAACCAATACTTGTAATTATAACTTTCTCAGGTCTGTAAAGCAAAGAAAAGTGGAAGTAGGCTCATAAGCACAGTTGTGATTCACTTACAGACTGCTTCATTTAACAACTGAGTTGTCAGTCCCAGTTAAGGGTTCTACATAAGGACACATTATTTAATTTAAAATATTTTAAATAAATTCTGCAGACAGAGGGACTGGCAAAGAGTACTCGCAAATCTCCTTTCTATTTTTCACAGTAACTTTCTTTCCAATTTATAACTATATTTTTCTTTCTTGCTTCTCCTTTCCATACCATAAAACACAAAGCAAGCTAATTTCTTTTGTCATTTTCAGATTAAAACTGTAGAAAGTGAAAGCTACATTATAAAGAAAAATCGTAAGAAAAAGCTGCATTATTTTAATTTAGAACTCCTGTGTATGGCTAAAAACTGCAACAAAATGACAGCAGAGAGATAAGGAAAACCATCTGGATTTTTGCAATTCAAATATAGTTCTTTGTAAATATATAAATGTATAAATGTAAATGTATAAAGGTAAAGGCTTCCCCTGTCCAATAGCTTCCAACTCTAAAGGGTGGTGCTCATCATGCTTCTTAGCTGAGGGAGCCAACATTGTTTGAAGACATTTTCATGGTCATTTGGCCAGTATTACTATATGCTGAGATGCTACCTTCCCACCAAAGTGACATCTATTTAATTTCACATTTGCATCCCTTTAAATTGCTAGGTATGCAAGAGCCATGGCAAGGAATGGGAGTTCACCCTGGAATGCAGTCCTCGGGTCTTTAACAGCTGAGCCATCATGCCTTTTTAAGATGTTAAGAATGCTGGGTTTTGCAAGATTGATATTGTCTCTTCTATTTCTTTATTAAATTTATATAATTACTTATCTCACATATATGACTTAAATGGTGTACAATCAAAGAATCAAAACAAATTATAACAAGTATGATAAAAATTAAAACAATTTAAATACATAAAAAGGACTTTGGAGAATGGATAGCAACCTATACTTGGGATCCCCAAGCCTGTTAAAAGAACCAAATTTTGAGGGTTGTCTTAAATGCACTGGGATCATGGCTAATCTCATCTCAGGAGGAATGATGTTCCAGAAGAAGGGTGCCACAGCAGAAAAAGATTGCTTCCTCAATATTTTCAGACAGAACACTTTAGCAGATAGGACCCATAACATGCCCTTCCTGTTACATCTAATGAGATAGGTAATGTAATCAGGAAGAAGCAGTCCCTCAAATAACCTGGTCCCACGCCAAGAAAAGATATTAATCTTTTAAAATTATATTAAAGGAATGAGATGTCATTTCAAGAAACAAAGCACACATGCATTGTTATTTTATTTAAACCTGGGTAACAGCTCCCTCAATTGTCTGAAGGCCACATGTTCACCCTTGAAAATGATATGAACTACCTTGTGTTATTCTAGGTAATAGGTACACATTATCTCAATTTTGATGCATTAACCAGAAAAAGGGGGGGGTTCCTATTATCTTAAACAAAGCTGTTTATTGATAAAATGGGATGAAGGGAGGGCATTAAGCACACTCCAAACTGTATAAAGTTCATAGCAACTAGTATAGGAATCTGTTCTTTCAAAGTGCTTATAGCTTTTGTGTGTGTATAGCACTTCTCCCGAAGAGGCCACTGGAAATTGGGCTGTCAAAGTTGAATTGCTAAGTTGCCTGCTAACTTCTATCATTACTCAACTTGCCATAGAAACAGGGGGGAGAGCATAGGGATGAAACGGGAGTCTAAGAAGCCATCCCCAAATGTGAGAACCTACAAGAATGCCAAGGTCACTGACACAGGTGTCTGACAGAGATATGGACGGTTCTAATAACAAACAAAAACTATAGGATTGGCAAACGTGAACATCTGGTGGGTGGGGGGTTAAGGGAAGCTACTGGTAACTAGGTAGATTTTTGTGATAAGATCAGAGCTGGTCTTGCTTCTTTGATTCTGAGATGTGTACTCAATAAAGATTTATCTTTTATGGCACTTCGAAGCCTTGAAGATTCCTTGCTGTTGAGTTCATTAATCAGACAGCTGACCTTAGACCAGCTCTGTACACTGTGAATGCAGCCTTCTCAGAGGCTCCAAGAAGATTGTAGCATAGCAATGTTGTAGGTTGAGAAGAAGATCGATGCTACCACAAAGTCTGGGCAGGTCCTTCCACGGGAGGCACTGGGATCCGTCCTGGTGGACTCTGGGTCTCAGTCAGTGGTAACACAGTCCAAAGTGAGAGCGGAGAAAGCTGAGCAGTCACCAGTGCAAGAAGAGGAGGGGGTGGCCAGATCCCTCCATACCAGCTCAAAAATGCAATGGATAGTTGGTGTGAGGAAAGTGGCCGAGATGGAGTTTCCCCTCATCCCACTGGGGGTTGCAAAAACTTGAAGGAGCAAGTGGAAGGCCAAGAGAGCTGCAGATTGGGAAGAGTCAGCAGAGTGTAAATTTCTGGCTGCCTCCTGCAGCCCTTCGGTGGAGCAGCTGCTTGAGAAATTTGTTGAGATGGAGATGTGAGGAATGGAGCCATTGAAATCCCCCATCCGAGGAACAGCACTTGGAATGGATCAAGTTGGTGACTCCGTCCCCTTCTCCACTCCACCTGATGGTGCTAGGTCAGGTGGGCCAGGGGATAACAAGGGACTGAGGCATGGCCGTGCAGACCCAGCCAACACTGGCATGGCAGGAGATCCAGCCCATGCTGCCCCGTAAGTGTGGGGGGGGTACTTCCTGGTTACTTGTTAGTCTGTAACAACCGTGATCTACCGCTGTTGAAAGCCACATTTGATGGATGGAGAAACTCACCTATTTCCTGAACCAAATGTGGATTTACCTGGAGCAGCACACAGCAATGTTCCCAGATGAAGGGACTTGTGTGAACATGCAAATCTGGAAGGAGAAGCTGCTGAATGGGTGGTGCACTCCTAGAGGGGCTCTAGGTCAGATTTGGGGACCCCACACAAGCCCACTGGACAGAATCTGAAATTTGCTCCATTAGGCAGGGGAGCCAGTCCATGGCTGAATACGTTCATGAATTCTGCAGCATGGCCAGGAAGTTGAAAGGAAGGCCAGAATGCCTATGGGTCTACCAGTTTCAAGATGGGCTAAGCAGAGAGGTGTACCAGAATTGCCTGTCCAGGGGAATCCTTGACGACCTCTACGCATAGAACCAGCTAGCCACCACAGTGGAATTGGACATGATGGAGTATCAGTGACAGGCGGCACCTGAGAACTGCCCCTACCAGAGCCAAGAGAAGCACTTGCCAATGCACAGAGGAGGAGGAGCTTCTCCGATTGCTACAGAGAGCCCATGTCGCCTTGCTGGAGCTTGTTTCTAATGTGAGAAAGAAGGCCACCAAGTGCCAATTGCCCACCCCCACAACCCGTGTTGATGCCCAGGACCCTGAGTCAATCCAAAGAAGACTCCAAAGAAGACAGGCTGGTCTTCTATGAGAGTGACAGTGAGGGGGAAGACAATCCGATGGTAACTCGTGTCATCACCCCATTGACTGCCCAGGTGGAGGTGGTAGTATCCCAGTCAGGAACAAGGGGGAGGTTTACTGCCCTGTTAAACTCAGGATGCACTCGCTACTTGATCAGCCTGCAGATGGTGGAATTGTTGGGACTGAGACTGAAGCAGCCCATGAAATTCAAGCAAGCAAGTAGATGACTCACTTATGGGGGGAGGGGGGTTGCCAGCAACCTGTCTGACTGAGCCATTGAGCCTAAGGGTGGAGAGACCATGAAGAGACTATCCAGTTAATTGTAGCCCCAAAGATGGCAGAGACAATGATACTGGGATTGTCGTGGGTGAAAAAGTAGTCCCCATTCCCCGCCAACCAGCAGATGGGAATCTGGATGGAAGACACCACCATCGACAACGAAGGCACCGATCCATTCAAAGACTCCTGCCGCTGGATGTGAGATTCAAGGGGGAGCCGACACGCTTGGGGAATTTTCCTAACCCAAGTCCTCAGCTACATGGAGGAATATGGGCGGCACATCCCCAGCGACAAAGCCTGTATCCCGATCATGCAATCTGCCCTGGACAGGCTAGCCGCAGATTGGGTGGTAAACTTGCACGACTCAAATGTCCCAGAGCTCAACAATTTCAACCATTTCATGTCCTCTCTGAGAAGGCGATTTGAGGACCCCCTGGCTGATCGCAAAGCCCGCGAAAGGATCAAAACGATGAGGCAAGGCAAACGTCTGGTAGCCGAATATACGCAAGAATTCTGGGCCATTGCCAGCAAACTGAACTGTCCGGAAAACATGCTCCTTAGCCATTTCAAAGATGGACTAAATTACGACCTATATGATGCTTGCCTGCCCCGAGGGGACCCACACCAACTTGATGAATGGTACGTCCTGGCAGAGGAAGCAGAGATCGACATACCAAAGAGGTACCAGCGAGAAAAACAATGGAGCCGCTCACCGCCTGAGTTGACACGTGAACCAGTGAACCCATCGGCTATGGACAAGAAGCAAATGGGGTGTTTCAAGTGCAGGAGAGAAGGGCATCGGGCTGTAGAATGCCACTCAAAAGCCCCCCAGCACAACTCAAGACAGATCACCGGCCAGCAAATCCGGGAAGTCTCCAGCTAAGCCAGAAGAACCTGCCATGAGAGTGATAGAGGCTGTGGAATCCCCCACCTCTGCTCATCAGGGGAAAGAACCCTACACCGCAGGGCCGGTG